AACTGCAGCTGCTGTAAATCAGGAACAAAAACAGAATTTCCTGGAAAAGCTCAGCAGATCTAGCAGCATCTGTGAAGAAAAATCAGAGTTAATGTTTTGGGTCCAGTGACCCTTCCTCAGAACTGACGGTAGCTAGGAAAATGTTGATTTATAGACTGGCCACTAATATCCATCTCGACTATACATCCCCACACCCTTATTCCTGTAAAGACTTAATTCCATTCTCTCAGTTCCTCCATCTCTGTCGCATATGTTCAGATCAGGCCAACTTTGACAAGAGAGCCTCTGAAATGTTCACCTTCTTCCTCAACCAAGGAATCCACAGCATTGTTGTGGACAGGGCCCTCAAGTGGGTCCAACCCATCTCCTGCACTTCCGGCCTTATTCCCTCCCTTCACTCCCACAATAGTGATAGGATCCAGAAGAGCATCAGCCGGCATTTCCCGCCACCTCCAGTAAGATGCCATCATCAGACACATATTCCCCTCTCCTTCCTTGTCCACCTTCCACAGGGACTGTTCCCTCCTGGACACTCTGGTCCACTCTTCCTTCACTCCCAACACATCCTCCACAGTCACATAGCACCATCCCCTGTAACCGGTGAAGGTGCAACACCTGCCCATTTACTTCCTCCCTCCCCACTATCCAAGCGCCCAAACATACCTTCCAGGTGAAGCAGCACTTTACCTGCAGTTCCCAAAATCTAGTCTACTGCATTCACTGCTCACAATGTGGTCTCTACGTTGGAGAAATGAAGCGCAGACTGGATGACCGCTTCGCAGAACATAACATTCGACCCACACAAAAGACCCTGAGCTTCTAGTTGCCTGCTACTTTAATACATCACTGTGTTCCCTGGCCAACATTTCTGTCTCTGGCTTGCTACAGTGTTCCAGTGAAGCTCAGTGCAAGCTGGAAAAACAACTCCTCATTTTCAACTTGGGGACCCCGCAGCCCTCTGGATTCAAGATCAAGTTCAATAATTTTAGGACGTGAACTCTCCCATGTCCTAACCCCCTATCCTACATACCAGGCCTTGTTATCACTTAGCTTGCCATTATTGTTATCACATAGCTTGCCATTACACTAACAGTCCCCATTAACAGCTATTCACCTTCCTAGCCAGATCATTATCAATTCCTTTGACCAACTGTTCTTGTCTGTCTTTAGGCTCTATCCCCACCTATCATTTACTCCTTACCCCCCTCCCCCCACCCTATCTTGTACATATAGACCAAGATTTTCCTAACTAACATCGGTTCCAAGGGTCACCAGACTGAAATGTTAACTTCTGTTTTTGTCCTTTTTTACCAGGACGTTGCCTGGGCTGGAGAGTTTTAATTATAAAGAGAGACTGGACAGATTGTGGTTGTTTTCCTTTGAGCAGAGGAGATTGAGAGGAGATATGATTGAGATGTATACAATTGTAGCCATAAATAGGGTAGACAGGAAGAAACATTTCCACTTGATGGAGGGATCGGTGACTAGGGGCATAGATTTAAGGTAAGGGGCAGAAGGTTTAGTAGTTTTTTTGGTTCAGTCGTAGCTTGAGGATGTCACTGGTCAGGCCAATATTTTTTGCCCATCCGTAATTGCCCAGAGTGCAGTTGGGAATCAACCACATTGCTATAGATCTGGGGTCACATGTAGACCAGACCAGGCAAGGATGGCAGATTCCTTCCTTACTGAGCATTAGTGAACCAGATGGGTTTTTCCTGGCAATTGACAATGGATTGATGGTCATTATTAGACTCTTAATTCCAGATTTTTTTATTGAATTCAAATTCCACCATCTGCCATAGCTGGATTTGAACCTGGGTCCCCAGAACATTAGCTGGATCTCTGGGTTAACAGTGTGGTGATAATACCATTCAACCATCATTTCCTATATATGAGGAAAAACCTTTTCACCCAGAGAATGGTTGGAATCTGGAACTCATTGCCTGTAAGGATGGGAGAGTAAGAAACCCTTATAACATATAAGAAGTATTTAAATGTGCAATTGCAATGCAAAGGCATCCAAGTCTATGTAACAAGTGCCAGAAAATGCGATTAGACATTTAGGTGTTTGCTTTTGACAGGCGCAGATATGATGAGCTAAAGAGCCTTTTATTTGCTGTATTTCTCTAGAACTGTATGATGATGGGATGATCACCCAATTGTTATTCCATACTTCCTTCAAAAAATATGCTGCAAAAATCAACCAATTTGTCATTTCATTCCTAGAAAAACTCGCACCTGCTCTATATGACCATTTAAGAGACCACATTTTTTTTACAGCACATCAACCGAGTGTGAGAGGTTGATAGTAAGACACTGCTCAAACCTGGCTCTTCAACCAGGGAAATGGCTGTTCTTCCTAGTATTAATATTTGGAGCAGTGGCCCTCTTTGGTATTCTGCTGTCAAGCTCTGGGTGCCTCATGGCAGGTATCCTGAATGCAGGGAGTGATAATGTATGGTTATGAGGACATTAGGATGCTTCATTCTTGTCTCCCTATCGTTTTCTTCCAGCATGCTCTCTTGAGTATGCAGTGGTTCCCCACATTAAAAACCCAGGGCTTCCTGGTGTCTTTGAACTCTGCAGGCCTTCTTGGTCCCACCAAGGACCACTATTGGGTTCTGGCACCATTTGGCTTGCAAGAGTTGACAGTTGTCAAGGTTGGGACATTGAAGGACATTGAAGGACAGAGGTCAAGCCTCTGCTTGTTTAGGTCACAGGCAGTTTATTAATTGTTGTATGGTCATCTTTATTAAACACAGTGATTTTGACATTGACTTCACCTCTGGGTGGGTGAGCAGCTTAACTCCCATGACTACCACTACCACCTCGCCACAGTAAAATCCTGTTGGGGTATCACCCAGCATAAATAAATAATGCTAACTCTGGCTTTACATTCACATAATGTAAAGTGTATGCATTTCCTTCCTGCATACTTATTAATATCTGTTTTTCTTTATTGTTTTGCCTTAGTTTAAAGTAATTCTTGTAGTGCAGGAAAAGAACTACACACAATTTCTCCAAAAACACGAATAAAATATCCAACCTGTTATTTTGGATCAGTTATAGTCTTGTTCAAGGTGCAACAGTAATGTACTAGTTGAAACAAGAAAGAAACTGTAGAATCCCTACAATGTGGAAACAGGCCATTTGGCCTAACAAGTCCACACCACCCCTCCGAAGAGCATCCCACCCAGATCCATTTCCCTACCCCTGCATTTCCCATGTCTAACCCACCTAACCTAAACATCCCTAGACACTACAGGCAATTTAGCATGGCCAATCCACTTACCCTGCACATCTTTGGACTGTGGGACGAAACTGGATCACCCAGAGGAAACCCACACAGATATGGGAAGGACGTGCAAACTCCACACAGACAGCTTCCCAAGGGTGGAATCAAACCCAGGTCCCTGGCACTGTGAGGCAGCAGTGCTAACCACTGAGCCACCATGTCACCCATTCATGAAGCACCTGCATTAACAGGTCCTTGAGTTCTTGCAGATGTCATCTTAATCTCTCGTACTTTAACACCCCAACAGAAATATAAAGTTGTTGTTTGCATAGAGAGCCCTGTTCTTTATGTGGCAAAAAGGAATGTCCATACTTTGCTCCACATGGCAATTACCTGACCAATCAGATTCTACCTGCCAGACTTGAATTTAATTGGTTGTTCAAGATAGTTAACACTTGGCACTCTATCCATGTCAACGATAGTCCACTCCATCAGTGTTCACTTGTCATTCTGTATAAATTGTTGTCTCGCTTCTAAAGTTGGTTTTCTTGTGTTTACAATTGCAAAGTGAAAAATTTCATGCCTCTTTTTAGCATTATTTATGTTCTGTACAATCAAGCTATACAATCAAGTTCTCCACATCCTGCAAAACACATCATTCACTCTCTCCCAATCCATCATTTACAGTTCCACTTGGCAACTTGCACAACCACGATTTCCTCACTTTTCCAGTCCTGTGTTCTTTCACTGTTGAAATTGGAAGTTGCATTCAAAGCCTGCTCAAATGTGTGTTAATGAACTGAGCATGCAAACTCTGATCTCTTCTTTATACATGTGTAGACAATTGAAGCCCCAATCTACAGTACTTTAGACTTCTTCACCATTGCGATAGATATTCAAATCCACAACCATCACTTGGCAATGTAGTCCTTTTGGTCAATGTGATTTACAGCACTAATCCTATTCATTACATTCTCCTTTTACTTTAAATTACAAGAGTGTAAACGTAATATAGCATAATGTACAAGAATGGAAAGACATCATTGCTTAAGAAATACAAATTGCTTATACACCCATCTATAAGCTACTTTTTGATTTGATTTTTTAATATTTCTAATATTTGTGATGACAAAATCAGCTCTTTGCATAAACAGTAGCTCCAGGATGTGGAACGTAAAATCATGCTGCTCCTAAACTGAAAAATAAGGTCCTTCTTCAGATGTACAGCTATGTAAGTTGTTCTTCATTGACCACATGCCGCCTTTGCCAACTTAACTGTTTCTGTGTCATCCCTGTTAGAGCTTATGGCCCACAAATAACGCCATTTTTAAAAAAAAAACTAATATTTGTCTTTTCAGCCTATGCATTTTCCGTCTTTGGATTATTATTCCGATTCCATCTCTATCTTACTCTGTTTTAGAATAACTATGATGGCCAGTTGTTGAACATTTTGCAAGAAATCCATTCATTTTTTTCATTGATGGAAAAACCAATCTTCCTGCTCTGGCTGTTGATTGGCAAGCAGACCCAGCAAGAATAGCACATTTGAACTCTGGTCTTCAGGCTCAGAGTCCAAAGCTGCAGAGAACAGTCATTACTTCGTCGCAAGGTTATTGCTCTTCTAATCTGAATCAATTATTTACAAAGTGACCTTTTTTTGTCACTGTTTATTCAAAGGAATTGATATTTAAGATCCTTCCAGAGGTGAAGTCATTTAACTAAGTAATAATACACCTAAAATAATTTTTCCTCTCTTCACTTTTAGCATATCTAGAAGACAGCTTTGTAAAGTCCGGAGTCTTCAGCATTGGAGAGCTTGTGCGAGTGTCACGAAGTAAGTATTACCTCTAGCTGGGGTTCAGTTTAGAAAACCAATTATCCATTATAGAATATGCTGAATTCTGTTCTGGTAATTGCCGGATAGAAAGTCATACAAGTAATGCAAACTGTATATGAACGGAAATGTGTCAGTATGTGGAAATGGTAGACCTCATGAAGAGAACATTCAATTGTTATAATTTATCTTGCAGTTTGGGCTAGTTTCCACAGCTCCTTGTGCACAGACACTGCAAAAATCAGCTTTCATAGGCAAATCTACTATGAACTGAAACTTTTCTGTTTAATTATGTCAATGTATGGCATAATTGACAGTGCAAACACTGTATTTTGAACTAGCATTGGGAATAATATAGAGTGAGCAGTTCTTATATCCCTGAATCATGAGAAAAGAAATCCATGGTGATAGACAAGTTAAAATACAAATACGGCTGTATTGTCAGTCGCAAAATTATACAGAAGGAAGTACGTCAGCAGATAGCTTTTACAAAATGAAAGAATAAAAGTTTTAAAATACAGCATTCTTCAGTAGTTTTGACCACGAGTCCACTTTATCAGAAATAATCAAGGTGAAGTATCTATGAGTCTCCAACGTAGTCCCATCCATTATACAGTTCATCAGATTACCACCACCACAGTGAGAACAATGATCTAGCCCACAATGTCACAGCAAAAGAGGGAAATTGAAGTGCAGGACTTTTAACCTTCTGTAGATTGTTTATCTTTGGTGCCTGGCTAACACAAAGGAAGTGAAACGAAAGCTGCACTTCAAAATTAATTAAAGCTAAGTAATTAATTAGTCTGCTAATTATATCTTGCATTGACATACCAGGAACAAAACGAACCTGCAGCTGTAAATACTTCAAGAAATAAGGCCTAACTCAACAAGGTGTTAAAATTCTCAGGGAGAATATTATTAATAGTTCAAGGGGGCTCTCGATCTGCAGTGATAATGTCCCTACCTCTGAACCAAGTGGCCGAGGTTCAGGCCCCACCTACTCTAGATGTGTATAATAAAATTATTGTTGATTAAGAAATATTTATTTATGTTTTAAAAATAAATAAATTTTCCTGTTTATAGCGGAATGGATGACATAACTAGATTTCATGTTTTAAGATGTTTATTGTAACAAACGGACTAAAGGTGCTATTGACTCAACATTAATTTTATTGAAAACTAGTATTTTAAACTGCAGAACAGGTAATTTAAAACAACCAAAGCAAATAGACCACAATCAGGAACATGTTACATTATCCTTTATGTAGACATTCAATTCGTGTAAAACCAATCTGAAGTGATTTTAGGTACTTTGAATTTTCACCTTCAAAACTGAGAAATTCTTAAGCCCAGAAATGGCCTTCATGGTGGGAGTGTTACAAGAAATCCTTCCATTACCACGAGCCATACAAATCTTTAAACATTGTCTTCTTTTATATAGAATCCCCACAGCAGGCCATTTGGTCCAATGAGTCCGCACCAACCCTCTGAAGAGCACTCCACCCAGACCCATTCTCATTTCCGTACTCTATCTCTATAACCCTGCTAAAATGCATGACTACCAGGATACCAATCTCAGGACTACTACCTGTGCCACAGGCTAGTGAGGCTAGGAACAGCAAGAGAGTGCAGTTGAACACGTGGTTACAGACCTGGTATAGGAGAGAGGGCTTTAGACATATGCATCATTGGGATGTCTCTTGGGGAAGGTGGTACCTGTACAGAAAGGACGGGTTGCACGTGAACTGGAGGGGCACCAATATCCTGGGCGGGAGGTTTGTCAGAGGTCTTCAGGAGGATTTAAACTAGTGTGGCAGGATGTTGGTGGGAACCAGAATACTAGGCAAATAAGTGCAGGAACTGGGGAAAAAAGTGTGACAGAAATATGCATAGCGCAGAGTAAGAGCAGGCATTTGGAAGTCGTGGGGCTCAGATGGACTGGAGGACTGAAATGCATTTACTTCAATGCAAGAAGTGTAGCAGGTAAGTCAGATGAACTAAGAGCATGGATTACTACTGCAAGGAATTATGATGTTATTGCCATTATAGAGACATGGTTCAAGGATGGACAAGGACTGGAGCTTAACATTCCTGGATATCGCTGTTGTAGAAGGGCCAAAAAGGGAAACAAAAGGGATGGGGGAGTTGCACTGCTGATTATGGATCACATCACAGCTGTGTTGGGAGAGGACACATTGGAGGGATCTTGCATTGAGGCATCATGGGTAGAGTTCAGGAATAGGAAGGGTAAAGTCACAATGTTGGGAGTTTTCTGTAGACTTCGCAACAGCCCATGGTAGACAGAGGAGCAGATATGTAGTCAGATACTGGACAAGTGTGAAAAGAGCAGGGTAGTTGTGGTGGGTGACTTCAACTTTCCTCTTATTGACGAGGAATCCCTTGGACCCAGGGGTTCGGATGGAGAGCAATTTGTTAGTTGTGTCCAGGAGGGCGTTTTGAAGCAGTATGTTGACAATCCAACCAGAGAGGAGGCCATATTAGACTTGGTCCGAGGGAATGAGCTAGGACAGGTGATTGATTTTTCAGTAGGAGAGCATTTTGGGCTGAGTGACCTTAACTCCATAAGATTTCAAGTAGTCATGGATAAAGACACACATGGCCCTTGGTTGAGTGTGCTTAATTGGGCAAGAGCCAATTACACCCAGATTAGACAGGAACTGGAGAATATGGGTAGGAAGCAGTTATTTGAGTGCCAATGTACCTCTGGCATGTGGGAGGCTTTTAAAGACCAATTGACTAAAGTGCAGGACATGCATGTCCCTGCAAAACTAAAGGATAGGAATGGCAGGATTCAGGAACCATAGATGACAAGCGAAATTGTAAGGTTAGTCAAAAGAAAAAGGATACAACAAGTCTAGGCAGCTACAAACTTTCGAAGCCCTGGAAATGTGCAGAGAAATTAGGAAGGAACATATATGCGCAATTAGGAAGCAAAAGGGGGCCATGAAATGTCTTTAACAAACAGGGTCAAGGAGAATCCCAAGGCTTTTTATGCATATGTTAGGAGAAAGAGGGCAACAAGGGAAAGCGTAGGCCCAGTCAACGACAAAGGAGGGAGGTTATACTTAGAGCCACAGGAAGTGGGTAGATCCTGAATGAGTACTTGGTATCAGCTTTCACCAAGGAGAAGGACATGACTAATTTTGAGGTCAGGGGTGAGTGTGTGAATACTCTAGAGAATGTCAACATATTGAAAGAGGAAGTTTTGGGAATCCTAAATTGCATTGAGATAGACAAGTCCCCAGGACCAGATGGGATCTACCCCAGGTTAGTTCGGAGAGGCAAGGGAGGAAATAGCTGGGGCATTGGCAGAAATCTTCACATCCTCGTTGACCACATGTGAAGTTCCAGAGGACTGGAGATGAGCGAATGTTGTTCCCTTGTTTAAGAAAGGATGCAAGGATAATCCAGGAAACTATAGGCTGGTGAGTTTGACGTCTGTGGTGGGGAAGCTCTTGGAGAAGATACTGAGGGACAAAATATATGCGCATCTGGAGGAAAATGGACTAGTTAGTGACAGATATCATGGTTTTGACTGGGGAAGGTCATGTCTCACCAAACGGATTGAATTTTTTGAAAAGATAACGAGGATAATTGATGAGGGAGGGGCTGTGGATGTAATTTATATGGACTTTAGTAAGACATTTGATAAAGTCTTACATGACAGGTTGGTACAAAAACTAAAATCACAAGGGATTCGGGATGGCCTGGCTAGATGGATAGAAAACTGGCTTGGGTAGAGGGTAGTGGTGGAAGGATGTTTTTCAGAATGGAGACCGGTAACTAGTGATGTTCCACAGGGGTCAGTCTGAGGTCCTTTGTTGTTTGTAGCATATATAAATGATCTGGAGGAAAATGTGGGTGGTCTGATAAGCAGGTTTGCTGATGACACAAAGATTGGTGGAGTTGCGTTAGTGCCAACGATTGTGGAAGTATACAACAGGATATAGATAGATTGGCGACTTGGGCACAGAAATGGCAGATGGAGTTTAATCCAGACAAATGCGAGGTGATGAATTTTGGAGGATCAAATTTAGGTGTGAATTATATTGTAAATGGCAGAACCCTTAGGAACACTAACGTTCAGATGGATCTGGGCGTGCAGGTCCACAGTTCCCTGAAAGTGACAACACAGGTAGCCAAGGTGATGAAGAAGTTATGTGACATGCTTGCCTTCATCGCCCAGGGCATGGAGTACAAGAGTTGGCAAAACATGTTGCAGCTATATAAAACCCTTATTAGGCTGCATTTGGAGTATTGTGTGCAGTTTTGGTCACCACACTACCAGAAGGATGTGGAAGTTTTGGAGACAGTACAGAAGAGATTCACCAGGATGTTGTCTGGTCTCCAGGACATTGACTATGAGGAAAATCATAGAAATCACAAAACCCTACAGTGTGGAAACAGGCCTTTGGCCCAACAAGTCCACACCGCCCCTCCGAAGAGCATTCCACCCAGACCCATTCCTCTACCTGTGCATTTTCCTTGTCTAACCCACTTAACCTAAACATCCCTGGACACTATTGGCAATTTAGCATGGCCAATCCCCCTAACCTGCACATCTTTGGACTGTGGGAGGAAACCGGAGCACCCGGAGGAAACCCACGCAGACACAGGGACAATGTGCAAGCTCCACACAGATAGTTGCCCGAGGGTGGAATCGAACCTGGGTCCCTGGTGCTGTGAGGCAGCAGTGTTAACCATTGAGCCACCGTTAAAAAGACTAGGATTGTTTTCACTGGAAAGACGGCAGCTGAGAGAAGACCTGATAGAGGCCTACAAAATTATGAGAGGCATTGATAGGGTGGATAGTCAGAGGCTTTTTCCCAGGGTTGAAGTTTCAATTATAAGGGGGGCACAGGTTCAAGGTCAGAGAGGGAAAGTTTAAGGGAGATATGCGAGGGAAGTTTTTCATGCAGAGAGTGGTAGCAGCCTGGAATGCACTACCAGAAGAGGTGGTGGAAGCGGGCACATTGAAG